GCAAATTTAGTAAAAGAAATTAATTTTACTTTGATAAAATATGCAATGATTTGTTGAAAAATGTTCACACAACTCTAAAAATATTATACCTTCTGTTCAGTCATTCATATGAGTAAATGTCGTGTGAATTGATCTGTGAATTAATCTGGCTAAAGCTATTATTGTCTCAATAAATGTTTCAAGTGACATTATCTGTTGTTGCCATGTTGTTTACAAATGCAAGAAGGAACACGACATAAGTCTAAGATTGCACGTAATCTTCTTTGATCAGCTAAGTGCTGCTAAATTTGCAGTCATAAAAAATCCCCATTGGACTGGAGAAATTTTTTTTTAAATGAATTTATCTTCTAGGCAGAAAGTACTACTGATCTTCAACATATGTTATCTAAAAACATCCTTCATGAAATTGCTTTCCGTTCATACTTGAGGCAGGGGAAACTTTGTAGGCTTGAAGCGTGTGTTGGTATTCCTGTTTTGGCCCGGATTCTCATTATCCAGCAGTAAACAACTTATGTGTTGGCTAAAACCCAAGTATTTGTTTAACTCTCACTCGTTAGGTAATTACAGCGTTGACGAATGATGGGAATGTAGCATGGCATACGGCTAGTTTGCTCTTGTCTTGGAAGTACAGCAAAAATTGGAGAAATTTCACTATAGGTCGCAGTCGAAGACATAAGTATTTGTTGATTTTTTTCCGTCACATTTGTGACATGTTTTGTAGTGCAGTTGCTCTGACAGCTTGATGACATCATATTGTTTGTTTGTTTGTTTGTTGTTTAACGCTGCACTCAGCAATATTCCAGCTATATGACGTCGATCTTTAAATCATTGAGTCTGGACCAGATAATCAAGTGATTGAAATTATGAGCATCGGTCTATGCAGTTGGGTTATGATGACATGCATCAAACAAGTCAGCGAGCCTGATTCCATTAATCTCTAATTACAACATGCATGGGACCATACTGAAATAAGCTTGTTTGAGAGGATCTAATGCTTTAAAAATAACAAACTCCATTAAAGTAATATTTAACTTATTGTATGAAAGCAGCAATGCTGGTATATCTTGAAGACACATGTATCTTGAAGATTGGCATGCTTCAGGTGGAAATAACACACAAATCAACCTAATCCTTTTCTATCAGCCTAACATTTTAGTAATAAATTCTTTTGCTGTGACAAATGACCTCTTATCTTGTGTGCCAATTTATGACTAAAACCAACAAAGGATTTCGTCTCCTGAAACAGGTGTGAGGTAGAGCAGTTTGGAATAGCTTCAAACTGTATATCTTGTGGCCAGCGGCTGCAAGGTTCACAGCCAAGGTGTGTTATAATAGCTGTTGTAATCTGTTCCACTTCCAACAATGTTGTTCTGAGTAGTTTGGAACGTGTCCTGTACGTGAAAATTTGGAGAATTTGGCACATTTTCGAGATAGTCATATTGAGTGGCTTGCCAAAAGACAAATGTAATGCAGTTTGTGGTTTTGTGGTGTTTTTTTTTTAACTTGTTTTGTCTGTGATGTGTGAGTACTCCATCCCTCATCCACTCACACATCCCACACCCCACACCCAAACACACCCCATCACACACACCATCACACATCCCATCACACACCCTATCACACACCCCATAACACACCCCATCCCACACCCCATCACACACCCCATCACACATCCCATCACACACCCCATCACACACCCCATCACACCCCCCATCACACATCCCATCACACACCCCATCACACACCCTATCACACACTCCATCACACACCCCATCACACACACCATTACACACACCATCACACACCCTATCACACACACCATCACACATCCCATCACACAACCCATCACACACACCATCACACACCCCATTACACACACCATCACACACCCTATCACACACACCATCGCACACACCATCACACATCCCATCACACACACCATCACACACCCTATCACACACCCTATCACACACACCATTAAACACACCATCACACACACCATCACACACACCATCACACACACCATCACACACCATCACACACCCTATCACACACACCATGACACACCCTATCACACACCCTATCACACACCCTATCACACACACCATCACACACCCCATCACACACACCATCACACACCCTATCACACATCCCATCACACACCCCATCACATACCCCATCACACATCCCATCACACATCCCATCACACATCCCATCACACACCCCATCACACAGCCCATCACACAGCCCATCACACACCCTATGGGTGTCAATGTGTGTACCCTGAAAGCATCCCGTGAGATGTGGAACTCCTTCCATATACTGACTATCTGTTCCCACCTGACTCTGTGGCATCATGGCCATGCTGTCAGAAGGTGGCAGTTTGGGCTTGGTTGTAAAACTGATATGGCCAAGATCATTCTCACTTCAAGTTCAACATTATTGTACAACTCTGCCCCTAATTTTATACTAAATTTGATCTGCAGTTGCCTCCCTTTGATCACTTGACTCAATTACATCGTGGAGGGAGTCGGTAGCGAAATGACTTCAGCAGTTGCCCATGACTCATGTTTGTCTTATTTGAGCTTTCTTCAAGTCATTAGCAGGAATGTTATCATAAGAAGGCATTCCTAAGCCACCTTTTCAGGTTTGTAAATTTGTCACGTGAATTACTAAGAACCTAATAGCATCAATGGATGCCCTGACAGGGTTCAAAGCAAGGCGGGCGAGTTAACGACATCTTGTGATGAGTAGTTCCGGGAACATGCTGCAGCTACTGACAGCAATTGTCACTCACTGTTGCAGCATGCACAGAGATGCAGAAGGAGAGAAAAGCGAAAGATGTTAAAAATATAGCAAAAGTAGATGTCGACTTGCATCGATACTTTAAGGCTATCTCAAAAGTGCAAATATCCAAACTTGTTACAAAGAATTAAGATTATGCTTGAATAGAAATAAAATTAAAAAATATTTTACTTGGTTTAAAAAAGCACAATACTGCTTTTGAGAGTTTGGAAAAAGATATGGACTTCTTGCAAATATTGCTTTCATTTCTTGATCATCGTTGGTTGGAGAGAACAAGCAAGTTAAAATAACAAATGTTGTTTTGTTTGATATTCAAATTACCTGAAAAAGAATCTAATGTAACAAGAATTTAAGGACATATTAAGGCTTCTCCAAAATGTGGAAAAGGGTTAAGCCTGTTCATAGTGAGCATGTGCTGCAACAACAACCCAAACGTTGCTGATTCAGCCTTAAGATATGTCTACTCTCTTACCTACAACACAAGACACTTCTACTGCATATACTCTGAACAATTGTCCTCAAACTTCAAACACCCCCTCTATGATATATATAGTGGAAGGATATGTCACTCACTCACTCACTCACTCACTCACTCTCACTCACTCACTCACTCACTCACTCACTCACTCACTCACTCACCCACCCACCCACCCACCCTCACTCACTCACCCACCCACCCACCCTCACTCACTCACTCACTCACTCACTCACTCACTCACTCACTCACCCACCCACCCACCCACCCACCCACCCACCCACCCACCCACTCACTCACTCACTCACTCACTCACTCACTCACTCACTCACTCACTCACTCACTCACTCACCACCCACCCATTCTCCATTTCACCTCATCAACTTCTGAACAGTCAGATTTCCACCTTCACCTTAGGAACATTTCAATTAGCCTTCCTTGTTCAGCTGAAACATTATATCACAGACACTTGGTAAACAATACAAAATTAATCACAGGCAATGGCCTAATGTCAAAGCCATAAATGTTAGGAGACTTGTCCCCAGTGATGGGATTTGTATTAGCTGGAGAGCAGTGGGGATCCTGGTATCAAAATTATAGATCCTCGACTTCCGAGGCACGAGACAGTGAAACTGAGTCTCTTAATTAGGTGAGAAGACAATGACCACTTCTCACCAATTTCAAATCTCTGCATCCTTGCCACATGCAAACATGACATGTACACCCCTGTATGTAAGGTAGATTGTCCGCCGTCATTGTCTTCATCATGCCTCTCTGACATCCGAGCCTTGCAATCAAACAACTGCCACTTAAGGATGGACATTGCCACCTTTTAACCCGATAATTATATTTCAATCGTCAGCAACGCCCGTCCACTTGTTGGCTTTGGGTTTAAGTTTTTACCTGACCGTCGCCAGTCGATAAGACAAGTGAGGTCAAGCACGCTGTGTTGTCGATAGATGTTCGGGGTCGTGGTTAGCTTTGTGTGGGGTGTTAAGCTAGGTCTTAAGATGTGTTTCACCGTAAGCCTTAGCTGTGCCCTTGTCTGTTGGGGGGATTGAAATCTCATTGTTATTTTATATTTAATTCCTTCAGTATTATGTTTACAGGTTGAACAGATGAGACTTAAGTGCGAGGTTTAGAAATGTGATGGTTTTGTTTGCAATGTGTGGTGGATGTATATGGAGATAGGATATTGTGTATTTGAGATGAATGACATCTTGTTGTTTGTTCACAAGTTTGTTCAAACTCTGGCATCACACATGAAGATATTAAGATGTTAACGTTATAGCTACTTGTTGTTTTGATTGGTTAACTGTTTGCTCACAAATTCTGAATAGGTTTGTGTTTGTGTAAGCACAACACTTTCGTCAACATCAACAAATAATTCACAAGACACTTCAAGTGAAAACAAGAGATGGTAAATTTACACATCAATGCATCTTGAAGTTTATGGATCAATTTAATCCATTATCCATCTTCAATATCAAATTAACTTGCAGTGGAGAAGGTCTTCTAATTTGTTACATTCTCTATTAATAAAGACTTGACATGAATTTCAGCTACTGTATTCTTTCAGTGGGGTGTTTCGGTACAGATGTTCGTACCTTCATCCTACACAGGTGAACTCTGCATTGATACTACATCTCTATTTATGAGTGTTATGATCAGCCTGCTTGCTATGTTATATTTGTCTAATGAGATTCTTTATTTGTTTCAGGAACTGCATTGGATTATACACACAGTGACTGTCCGCAGCTCGGCTTGAGGTAGGTGAGACTTTGTGTCCTGGGTTCTGTGTGACACCTGCCTGATCACGCTGGGTGGAAACTAGCAGTACCCAGGGATAAATATACCCTGCCTGTGCCATGACATGTGGGGACCCTGGGGCTGTCCTAGGGCCTCCCTCCCCTCACCCTGGGGTCTCTCAGTCTGCTGTTATTGTGCTCAATCACCATCCCCTGCCACCAACACCACACCCATCTCCCCTCCCCTCCCCACCCCTCCACTTCCCACCCCTCCACTTCCCTTCATCCCATCAGTGGGGATTCCAGATGAGAATGGTCCCCAGCCATTCAAGAAATGCACTGCAATTAACTTACAGAGTTGCCTCCCTTAGGTATACCAGGATCCTATGATAGAACTAACTATTTCCTGAAAATGCTGGAAAAAGCAGGTTTCTCTTTAGTTTATAAATAGTTTACAAATAGTTTACAAAACAAAATAACTTGTTCACTGGACATTCATTTTCCCCGTAAATAAAATTACTCGCAAATAAAAATACGAAAAAAGTTGCTTGAAGATCATTCTCAAACAAAAACCCTGCATTCACACACACTCAACCCCAATTATTAAATTATTACATTACTTCATTGTCCCCAATCACTGTGATTATGAGTTGTATATTGGCAGTGAACCATAGCCTATGTTTGGGCTGTATGAGTAAATGAGGGGACACCCGTCTACTTCAATGCCAAGACTCTTATGAAGCAGAATGTGGTGGTGTTTTTTTTTATGGAAAGCGTGTTTAGCTGAGACCAATGTCAGTGGAGCCATATTGATCAGCATGCAAGAGGAGTATGCATTTTACTTATTTCCAGGTGTCAACACCTGTGGAGAGTTTGCCTACACTCTGTCCCCCTCTCTGTGCTAATAACCAGGTTCATTAAGGAGTGCTGTCGTTGGTGTGGATATTTTTAAACTCACAACTATTTCAGGGTACCATAAGGGAAAGAAGTCAATACAAAAACACTCTGACACTGGTGGTCTTGGAGTAACACTCCGTCCTGCTCATGTCACAGTGTCTTTGTGTGTCCTGTTTGCAACAATTGTTGGTTTGGGTTTGACCCGAGGTGACAATTGATGGTCGTCTTGTACTCCTGGTGACACTGACTTTCTTGTCTTGTACTCCTGACGACACCTGACTTTCTGGTCTTGTATTCCTGGTGACACTGACTTTCTGGTCTTGTACTCCAGGTGACACTGACTTTCTGGTCTTGTACTCCTGGTGACACCTGACTTTCTGGTCTTGTACTCCTGATGACACCTGACTTTCTGGTCTTGTACTCCAGATGACACCTGACTTTCTGGTCTTGTACTCCAGATGACACCTGACTTTCTGGTCTTGTACTCCAGATGACACCTGACTTTCTGGTCTTGTACTCCTGACGACACCTGACGACACCTGACTTTCTGGTCTTGTATTCCTGGTGACACTGACTTTCTGGTCTTGTACTCCTGGTGACACTGACTTTCTGGTCTTGTACCCCTGGTGACACTGACTTTCTGGTCTTGTACTCTGGAGACACTGACTTTCTGTGTGAGCGTGACGGTGTGAGAGTGATGGTGTGAGCGTGATGGTGTGTGTTACGGTGATGGTGTGAGCGTGATGTCGTGAGTTATGGTGATGGTAATGTTGTTGTTGTGAAGGTGTTGTTGATGAATTGCTGGTGGTGGTGGTGGTGGTGGTGGTGGTGGTGGTGTGATGATACAAGACCACCTGGAGCCCCTGGTGTACAGTCTCCTCCCCCACTACGTAGGTCATGCAGCTACACTCCTGTACACGCTCCACCTCTGATCAAGGGATGCCTCGAGTTCCTGGTGAAAATGTCAGCATCCGTAGAGCGGCTGAATCTATGTAGCCCCATCAATAGTTAATACCAGCAGCCGACACTGACATTTTACCAGTGGTAATGGAAGTGGTTGGGTCGGTGGCAGCGAGACAGTCAATGAAATAGATTTGTTGATAGTTGTGGCACTGGGGCAGAGGACACTATTTATCCATAAGCTGCTTGGCCTTGGATGTGACTCACCAATGAGGATTTTGACACCAGTGCGTCAGGTCTTGCTTCACTAGATTGGCTTGCTTGCAGTTTTACAAGGAGACAAGTTATATCACCACACTCCTGATGGCAGGATGGAAAATGGAAATTTGTAAAATGGGAGATTGTAGAAGGGGAAAAAAGGCCAATTCCTGTGTAGGTTACGAGAGGGGTGAATGGAGCTAGTTAATTCTCTTGCTTGTGTAAGATGGTCTAAGGGGTTACGTGTGTAATTCTTAGATTGGGGATTCAACATGATTATGCAATATGATGCCGTTTCCATCTCGTTTGCATTGCTTCACAGAATTCTTTAAAAAGGATTTTCAATTACCACTGCAGGATATTAGGAAACTTCAAAAAGGAATTTTGATTGAAATACAAAAAGTTTTCATTTCTTCTTCAGAAATGCATGAATATTTGACAATATATTACAATAAACAAGAAATCAGTGGGACCAGGCAATATCTATATCAAAAGCTTATTTTGTCTCAATGTTTGCATAGCAGGGAGTTAATATTTTCTTTTGAAAGAAAAACTGTTTTGAACTAGCTGTCATTGTTGTGTTGTTGTATAGGCATAAGGGCCTTTGTCTTGTATCTAATATATAATGAGGTCACATCTGGCCATTATGTTGACATTTAATGATCATCTGACCTACTTACTGAATTAGAACAAGCGAATAAAAACCCAATTATAAGCCCCTAACATCATTTCATAGTATGTGTGTGATATTGAAACAGACAGTAAACCCATACAAGCATCTATATTCATGTGCTTTGTTTCAATCTTTGGAGATGAAATAAAAAATCATTGAGGCACACCGGACCAGAAGAAAAGCAATATGGCGATATACATGGCACATCAGACGTATGTAGATTTTTTATCAATTCTGATAAATCCCACCTGCTGTGGAGGGTATGTTTCACAATGTAGAAGCTGATTGTCAATGTTGAGTGTAAATTACAGTTCTATAAACATGACAATCTGTAATGATATACTGATTATAGTAACAGCTTGTAATATCAATGCTGGACTAATTTTGGTCTATATGGCTACAGATAAATCACTAAGAAATGTCCAGTTTGAAATAACAGTAGAGAGGAATTGCACGTTCTGCTTATATGCGGATATTATGAAGACCTTAGAGATATAATAGCCAGAAAGTCTTATATATATTCTGAAGTCACTTTTGGGTACTAACAATGAATGTTTGTTACGAGATTGATCACATTGCTTATTGTATAGACTTATGACATAGGTCCATGTTTGTTTGTATGTATGTGTTAATGTGTTCATGTATGGTGTGGTGTCCTCACTTGCTGGGTGTATAGGATTTTGTATATGAGCCTGTGGCCTTCTTGCAAATCAACGTCTTCTAAAATATGACTTCACTGAATCACATGTCTCAATGAATTGTTCATAGTGCTAATATTATGGTGAGTGTGTATTTATTTGTTGGTATATGACATATGTGGTTTGATATTGAATATTTGAAAAAACTGTTTTCTAAAAGGCAGTTCAGATGTGACAAGACCCTATGATTTAGACACAGTATTGTTGACAATAAACAAATCTTAATTAAGCAATATTAATGAGGACATTTAAGGCTCAATCAATTTGTAAATATCCTTTAAATCTAATGTCCAGTAAAATCTGTTTTCAGAATTTGTTTGGGGTAGAATTTTAGATATACAAACTATTTTGATTCTTCTTTTAGATTTACCCCTGTTTCCTCATTACCGCGTCATTTTGCATCCTTTTTATCTGGGACGGTTCACAGTGACACATTTGTTAGAAAAAGGAATTTCTTTGAAGCATTGGGGAGACGGCATAATGACGTTGATGCATCGTAGTTCTCCGAGCCTGGATTGGGCCATAAATATCATGAAATGATCTAATTTTACTCACAAAGCCATCCTACCATTGTTTAAGAAAAATTCCAGCTAATCAATCTAATATCATCCATCAACCATGTAGCATTAATATATGGGAGGTCAGAGATTGGAGGTCAGAGGTCACTCTAAATGGCATCCTACCATCAATCATAGACTTGTCAATTGTCTCGCACTCAAGAACCATCTAATCACAAAATTCCTCCGACATCATGACGCGGAATTCGCAGTCCAAGAACGAGTTGAAGTCATTCGTCATGCCTAGTCAATTTGGTCAAATTCTCCCAATCGGCAGAAGTGGACAAGGTGAAGGCCAAAGAGCAAAGGTCACATGTATGGGCATTTGACCACAGTTGTCCCGATCTCGCACAATGTTACTCGAGTCCTAAATCCATGTTAGCTCTCTGACAAATTTCATTTGGGAAAGGTGGATTGGATTTGGCCAGCGGACAATTCATAAGCCCCTCGAGGGATCAAGGACTTCTCCTAATTTCCTCAACAATTCAACTGAGCAGTGAAGGAGGGATATTTAGCGAGATTACGCATTATTCCAGTGACCAAAGTCGGATTCCACTGCACATGGGTACCACCTCGCCATTGTGCGATGCCGGGCGTAACGTGACGGTCCTTCCTTCTCCCAACTACCCTCCCCTACCACTTTACCGTAATGTCATCGGCAAATATTTAATCTTCGCAGAAGCTAATCTTTTCATCCTAATTATACCACTGAATCAGCTTCTTTCTGGGCAACATCGCAGCACATCAAGTGTCGCTGACCCTCCTTGCATGCGACCACCATTTTCATTTTGGGCAGTGAAAATTATCAGCATCATATGCAGCGTAGCGCCATCTCCTAGCCCTCTGTAACGTTAGTGTTGCCCCATTGTGATTAGCAAGACTTTGCTGAACAGATAGCCATAACTTTAATGAGAGTCTCGAATGAAATGGGCCGACTTTGTCCAAATAATGTAGCCTTGATTTTTATCTGCTCTCTTACTTTCAATTTTCTAATTCGTTGAAAATTTGATAAATCAAGTTTGAAGGTTTTATTCGGTT